CTTACAAGTGATCTAAAGTTGTCAACGATAGTATAACACTACAGATATGACTTCATTACCTCCACGAAGGAAGTGCGATATTTACACGGATCACAAGAGTTTGAAATACTTCTTCGCTAAAAAAGATTTGAATATGAGGTAGAGAATGTGGTTGGAGTTGGTTAAAGATTATGATTGCACTATCTATTATTATTCGGGTAATGCTAATATAGTCGCAGATGCTTTTAGTCGGAAGATAGCNTGGTGAAAGATTATGATTGCACTTGCTATTATTATTCGGGTAATGCTAATATAGGCGCAGATGCTGGTAGGCGGAAGATAGCGAGACAACTAACAATTTTACCCACCACTCAAGGGCAGTTGTTAAAGGAGTTGAAGAAATTGAAATTATAAGTTATCATCCCACCAGCTAGTGTTGGTCTCCATTTATTAGAACTCATTTGTTTTCTCAAATTCATTTCTAATCACATATTTTACAAGATCCACAACTTTTATCAATTCGTGCAAACTATCCCTCAATCAATTACAAGTTATGACTAATGTTCATGTAATACATGATTTATTATTCACTATAATTAATCTCCAACTTTATATGGATAAAAAAACATCTTTCACATTTAATCAAGCTTCCTTAAAGAATGAAAGAATGTGGAACACAAACTACAATACTAAAAATCCACTCTTCTCAACCTAAATTCAATGTTCAAGTGAAACCTGTAACCTCCGAGTAGGGGTGGTTCGGCCCTTACTTGCACGAGCTCGGCTCTGCCCACGAGCGGCCGAGCCGAGCTTTAGCTCGTTGGCTCGTCGTTTTATATATACATTTGATCATTTTCTAAGCTTTTTTAAATATACATTTTCTAAACCATCTTTCTTTTTTAAAATAATAATAATTATCATAAAAGATAAACCCTCCTCCTTTATCAGGGTTTGGGACCTGCTATTTCAATTTCGAGTAGGCGAGTTAAAAATTGTACACGAACAACTTGTTACGTGTTCAATTTTTTTTAAAAATTATAAAGGTATTAAAATAAAATTTAGTGATGAATATGATTAAATTAAATATCACTTATTTGACTACAAGCAATTTCAACATATTTATCTTTCCAGTCGATAATAAGCGTCTTCCCAGTCCTTAACGTACAT